AAGGTTTAAGCACGTTACCTTCATTAGCGGCCAAGCTCATGTCCAGTTCCCCACAAAGGAACTATACCTCGCAAACTACACACATTTTCTCCGGTCTCCGGTCCTGGCTGGGAACGGCCTTTACGAGCATAAACGACTACATAACTGCAAGAGTGATCCAAGTACGTGTTCAGTAAAGAAATGCATTTCACTCAGAATATGAGATTACTGCTTTCTGTATCGTGACACTGATCTGTACGTTAGTAGCTGACCTAGATGTCGGCGGGACATATTGCCTCCATTCTCAGCATGCATATTATCACGTATTTGGGTGTGTGACTACAGACGGGGTTTGGATTGGTAAATTGTCCAGTTATACATACCACTTGGAACTACAAATAATTACAGCGCTGTAGCTAATCTGCATACTTAGAAATCACAGGAGCACCCGCTAAGCCTTTTCCCAGCCTACTGTGTCATCAGCCGTTCCCTGGTGAAGGCTTCTAACAGTGGAAATTCTTCATCTTCGATTAGCGTAGGACTGCTTCCTTCAAAATCCTTTACAATTCATTATTACCAGTCATCCTACCTTTCGACACTACATGGTGCAAATACTAACTGCGTCGTGAAACAAAACCAACAGGTGTTTTGTTTGCTTCTGTTCTCTGTGACGGTAACAGGTTGTTTCGAAATACATATCCCTTTCAGATTTCAAATTTTGTTTTGGAGTTACAAGGATGATATAGAACTGAAATCTGGCGTCTTCTTCATTTCTGTCCGTGCTGAACCGGGACGAATGATCAGCTTTATATTGTAGCGAGTATGGCCGTTGCTAAGCAATGGCTGCAGAATAGGCAAAAACGACTGTTTCTGGACAATAGCTCATCAAACACGTTCCCGCGGCAACGAAAACACACACAATAATAGAAGAACTATGTTTTCTATGTTATCCGTGCCGAGAAGTTATAACCAGAACAGCTGGAGCAATGAGTCGGTTAAGTTCTGCAATGGAGACCAAGAAGAGTTGGCGCTATAATTAAGTTAACAGTTCCCCCCCCCCTGGCACTACAGCCCCAGTGGGCCTATGCCTACCTCCATGAACTTCTCCGTTCACTTCGGTTTTTCTAGATCTTACACATTCGGTAGGACTCCTTGGGAAGGTGATCAGCTCGTCGCAAGGCCTCTGCCTGTATACAAACTCAGAAAAACGCACACACACAAACTAAACACCCATGCCCTGAGTGGGATTCGAACCCAAGATCCCGGTTTCCAAGCGAGCGAAGACCGCTCGGCTACCGTGACCGGCAAGTTAACAGTTCAGTTGTGGGATATTCGCCGGACAGGCTGGAGGACAATCAGAGTGCAGTGATTTGTGAAGTGTGGAAATCAGCGATAGTGTTACTATTTACTTGTAGTTATGACAGGAAAGTGATCAATAAATCTAATCACCAATCCATACCCCTTCTATTGTCACTCATACAGGTGACAATATGAATAACGTAAGAGTTACTTCTTTTGTCAGCGGCCTCCGTAGTCTAGAGGTAACGTTCCCACCTCATGACTCAGGGTACGCGGGTTCAAATACCCGGCGGAGGTCGTCGAATTTTTAAGGGCGGAAAAATTCAGGGAACAAGTTCTCCGGGAGGGACTTTAAGCTGTGTGTCCCGTGTCGTAACTTTACGGCACGTAAAAGAACCTCATATCCCCAAAAGGGATCACTGAGCCAAATTCCAGGACGTTTGCCGCCTAACTATAGCCTCTAAGGCATCTGATAGATGGGGGAAGCATTATAGACACCGCTAAGCAAGTGGCCGAACTCGCTTGCTCGGCGGGACTGATGGTACGCACCATTTATCGGTAGGGTAAAGAGACTGGTAGAATATCATAGAGGGAAGCACAATAGATCAAACTGGTCGCGGTGCATGGGGAAACCCACCCTCTCTAAATAACTAACTAACTAACTAACTACTTCTTTTGTCAACGGATGACAGCACAACAGAACCTACAGACCTAGCCAGAATCTTAATTATGCTACGTGGAACCTGGTCGGCTTCTTCATGGGCCACCACGGGGCATCCAGACGTTAATTCTGATGAACGAAACACTTTTCCGCACGCTGTTCTCTTCACTTCCATGTGGTAACCAATATACTCCTGTAACCTGTGCATTCTCTTCTTTACACCAATAAAACACCAGCGCTCTTGTTAGGGGAAGCTCGGGGAACGTCTTTGCTCTCCTTAACTGCCGGACTGGTCACTAGATGTCAGTGTGCATCCGGAAGGTCCTACGACCGGACATGTCGACACGAGTTTCCTTGGATTTCTTGTGTCTCCAAGTAAATGTTGAGATGGTTCCCATGTTCCCAGTTGATACTGCATACGCCTCATGCAGGCCTTCACCTTTAAATTCATCAAAATTAAATCTTTCGCTCTGAAGGACATCAAATTACCTTCAAAAATTACGCAACGCACTATTAATCGGAAAATAATAATTCCAAGGTACCTGCACAAAATAATTCACAAAATGGATAATCTAAATTTAATTAACAAGTTATTCCCCTAAATACATAGGCTAAAGTGCATCTACTCTCTGAACAAAGTTATGTTATACCAAAGGCCGCACCATAGCTCATGCGTTTTTTTTTATTGCTAGTGGGGTGGGACTACGTCCCTTGTACTGCGGCCACTTCTGGCCTATTGTACCAGCCCCAGATGATAGGTGAGGGTGACTGTGGAGCAATTGGTGGAATGAAGATTGGCAGGGGAAACCGAAGTACTCGGAGAAAACCTTCTCCAGTGCCACTTTATTTGCCACAAATCCCATTTGACCTGACCCGGACTCCACACGGCCGCGCCATAGCTCAAGCGGTTAGTCGCTGGCTTCCCACCGCGGCGGCCGGTTAGAGTCCGGGTCAGGTCAAATGGGATTTGTGGCAGACAAAGTGGCGCTGGGGCAGGTTTCCTCCGAGTACTTCGGTTTCCCCTGCCAATCTTCATTCCACCAATTGCTCCACAGTCACCCTCACCTATCATCTGGGGCTGGTACAATAGGCCAATAGTGGCCGCAGTACGAAGTGGACTCAGTCTCACCCCAGTAGGAATAATAAAAAAAAAAATACGTTAAACCATGTGTAAGCAACCATACGGAAGTAATATTCTATGTAATGCTTGAATTTCCCACGGATGTATGAATACCGAGAATATGTTGAAAATAGAGTCCAATAGCTTCCTGATGATACAGCTGTATGCTTCACTAACTGACGATGACGTTACAGTAGCAGATGGAGTACAGTGAGCACCGCTCAGGCCCTCCCTATATCCTATCTTTTTCTCTTCTCAAAGCCTTGAATCACTTTTGTACTAAAGGGAGTCTTCTTCTGAAATGAAACTATTCGCTAGAGGTTTGTAGTTCATTTGTAAAAAGAATGAGCCCTTAGGCGAGCTCCTAAACCCCTCCAGCAACTTGTTTTTGTACCCTGCACATGATATATATGTTCCAGTATCACAACAAGACATCAAATTTACTCCACATAAAAACTTATCTCTCTGTTGATGTGGCCCTGTGAATTCATGAGAGCCGAACTGACCAATTAAAACGAAACCTATATTAACTATTCTGGGCTATTCTCCGTGCCATCAAGTGAAGAAGGCTGAAAAACAAGTTTTGATAACCCCTCTAGCAAGTCAAATCGCATTCAATTTAATTTCATTACAAAAACTTGAGACGCTTTTAACTTCACTTGTTGAGGTCGTTCTCAAGGACGTCAAGTTCAACATGTAGGAGAGCCAAATAAGTGTAACAAATGTTGTATGTTTTATGAGTCCTGAAAGGATATTTAACTCTTTACAAGAATGTTTCCTGGAGAATTTTCTCGTTAAATTTAGTTCCCTTAGACTCGTTTATTATAAGGGCTGGGAAGCATAAATTTTGATCACGTCTTACTGACATCATGATGGTTGTTTCCAATTCGAATTCGAAAAATTTTCCTGTGACATAAAGGTCATTCTTTGCCAAAATATTTCTTTTTTTT